CCATATAACATATACCAGAAATGATAGATGAATGACACATCATCATTACATGAACAAAATATATCTGAAAAATGTCAGAATGTCTAATAAGACAGAAAACATTTGAATATACGTTCATGTTTATATAAATAATGTTCAATAAACTGTCTAGCATTAACTAACATTATAACAATTTAACAACAGTACGGCAAAATAAGGGAAATAACTGAAGTTAATTAAGTTAACAACTGTTTAGAGCATTCACTTCCCTTTAATAATATACGTTCAATAACGGTAATTGAAAATGGATTTCTTAACATTCGAAGTACGCTTGTAGCCTTTTTACTGTATTTTTTTCTACTTTTTAAAATTATTTTTTAAATAATCTGAATCTATTCGAAGTAAGAAATATCTTTATCTAATACTATAAAGATTATTTTTGTCAAATCATGGATAACGTACGATAACTACTGAAAACAGGCATTTCATACTATAACTGCCACTTAAATGGACATGCATTGCATAGCGCATGATTGTTACAGAGAACATGCATTGTGTACAATAATTACTGAAAACAAGCATAGCATACAATAATTACTGAAAATATGCAAAGCATTTGTCAAACATGCATAACATACAATAACTACTGAAAACATGCACAGCATATGATTACTACTGAATAACATGAATAATATATGATAACAACTAAAACATGCATAGCATACAATAACTAACTGAAAACATGCATAACATTCGATAACTACTGAATACATGCATAGCGTACGATAACTACTGGAAACATGCATGGCATATGATAACTAGTGAAAAACATGCGATAACTACTGAACACAAACAAAGCGTTCAATAACTACAGAGAACATGCAAAGCATGCAATAACAGTGTGCTCCACTTTTCTCAGTGCTTATTAGTTAACTCTTAGTTTAAAGTAAATATATTTGAAAAGTGCCTTAACAAAAATGTACATAAAATGTCAAAAGGGGTCAAATGAGAAAAAAATATAAAGTTACCTGTCCTTTAAAACTTAAGTATGTGTACAACAAAACCATTACTGAATAATACCTTTTCTTCTAAATGATATGGGTCACAGGGCTATTATCGATGGTGGTAGTGGTGGTAGTTTTGGTGGATATATTGATGGTGTTGATGATAGTAGTAGTGGTTTTGTTGCTGATAATGGTGGTGGTGTGGATGATGATATTGGTGGTGGTTTTGTTGGGGGTGATGATGATGATGATGTTTCAAATTAAACGAAAGATATATAATATACATTTCACTGTACAATACGGAATATATTTGGACTCGTTCACAGCTTGAAAAGTCATAATGGACTCGCTTATTGGCTCATCCAATATGACTTTTAAGCTGTGTACTCGTTCAAATATATTCCGGCATTGTACAGTAAAATGCATAAGCACCTATAAAAATTCACTGTTTCGTTTTTTAAATATAGATTTTCTCTAAATCCCTCAAAGATGCAAGGCTATGATGTCACGTCAGGTCAAGTTTGTTTCTACTATTCTGACAAAAAATAATTGAGTTACTCCTCGTTAAAAGTAAAATTATTCTATTTTAGTGACCGTCTTAACATTTTTAAAAACATTATGAAATTAGCGTACCAATGCGCCGATTTAAAAGACAGGGCCAAATTATGGAAAAAGTAGACGGCTTAAAAATGTTGAATTCCGACTTATTCAAAGGCAGATTTGATATGCCAAATAACAGTTATTTATAATTATATAAAAAAGAGAGACATATTCTTTTTAGCTGGTGAAAATGATATGATTAGTACTGAAAAATTAATATTGACCTCAGCTGTCACCTTGTTCAAAATTAATTTTTCTAGTACATATCACATCATATTCACCAGCGAAAAAGTCCATATTTGTATATAGTATTGCATATATATAACAATGTCTCATATATATATATATTACACAATGACTCAGATATATATTACATTGTCTCAGATATATATTTCACTGTCTCTGATATATATTACACTTTCTCAGATATATACATGTATAACATTGTCTCACATAGAAAATTGTCTCAGATAGAATTATTACCTAAAATGGTACACGTGTATATATTAATTACATTGTCTGAGATTATATTACAAATGGTGCATGTATATATTACAATGTCATGGATAATATATTACAAATGTTGCATTTATATATTGCATTGTCTTAGATATATATTACAAATATTACATGTATGTGTGATATTGTCTAAGATTATATTACAAATGGAACATGCATATAATACATTGTGTAGCATTGTCTATGATTTATATTACTAATTGTACATGGATATATTACATAATGTCTCAGATATATTTTAATCTCTAAGATAAGTAAAAGTATGTGACAAATCTTAGAAAAAGTGTAAAAATATAATGTTTAGGTGACACTGAGCATGTGCCTCTAAACACTGGACCATGCAAGGTAAGTTCCTTCCAAATATGAAAAACATCAGTCAATAAATAAAGGCTGTATGTGTAGAAATCTATTAGCTGAACCCTTGACCTTGACTGCTGACCCTTTAACATTTTAAAAGAAGAAACCATGCAAGTTATCTTCAAACCACATACACAAGACATAACAATAAGTAAAGGCTACATTTTTGAGCAAAAGTGTAAAAAACCCTCTATTTTTGCACTGGTGGAATTGACCCAACAGAGACTTCTCAATTAATGTCCCTTCCAAATATATAACTCATTTTGTCTATAGAGGTACATTTGTAAAACTGTTAAAATCTATTTTTGACATTGGTGATCTTGACTTTGTCCTTCATGACCCCTAACTTAACCTGAAGGAAAATGGTCTCCCTAGGCATATTACTGTATTTGTATCAAAAGTGAAAACATCAATTCAAAAATAAAGGTTGTACTGGCAAATATATACAAAAAACTTAAACAATTACACCAGTTACCTTGACCTTGACCCAAGTGAACCTTAACCCAACAAAAAGGTATAGAAAATTATAAAGTAATTAGTATAGATAGAACTTAAAATGATATATCCATATTATGCCAGTTTAGGTTAACCATATCCATATTCTAAGTGCTGAACAAGAGCACCGCTAGGCGGAGCATTATATCCACGAAAGTACTTTTTCTTTTAGTAAGGATGAAGCATTTGTAAGACATGGCAATTAAATACAGTATTACCTCCTTCAAAAAGCAATCCTCCTTTATAGCTGAAGAACATTCATGTATATATACAGTTGCTGTTTTCAAAGCACCACCATCAAGTTGTTATCTTGTAAGTAAAAATGCTACAACGGATGGACGAAAAGACGTCAGGGGTATAAAGCTGTTAATCCTATAAAATTTTACAGCTGTAGGTTGATTAATACTTGAGTAGTTGAACGAAAACTGTTTCCAGTTTAAAGGTGATAGTAACCTTGATCTTTGACTTTGTGACCCCAAAATCAATAGGGGTCTTCTACCCAATATAGACAATCATCCTATGAAGTTTGAATACTGTGGGCCAAATGGAACTTTAGTTATGGTCCGGAAACCATTTTCAGTATTAAGCTTATAGGACCTTGACCTTTGACCTTGTGATCCCAAAATCAATTGGGGACTTCTACCCAATATGGACAATCATCCTATGAAGTTTGAATACTGTGGGCCAAATGGAACTTAAGTTATGGTCCGGAAACCATTTTCAGTATTAAGCGTATAGGACCTTGACCTTTGACCTTGTGATCCCAAAATCAAAACCAATATGGACAATCATCCTATGAAGTTTGAATACTGTGGGCCAAATGGAACTTTAGTTATGGTCCGGAAACCATTTTCAATATTAGGCTAATAGTGACCTTGACCTTTGACCTTGTGACCCCAAAATCAATAGGGGTCTTCTACTCAATATGGACAATCATCCTATGAAGTTTGAATACTGTGGGCCAAAAGGAACTTGAGTTATGGTCCGGCAACTATTTTCAGTATTAAGCTAATTGTGACCTTTACCTTTGACCTTGTGACCCCAAAATCAATAGGGGTCTTCTACTCAATATGGACAATCATCCCATGAAGTTTGAATACTGTGGGTCAAATGGAACTTAAGTTATGCTCCGGAAACCATTTTCAGTATTTAGCTAATAGTGACCTTTGACCTTGTAACCCCAAAATCAAGGGGTATAACATTAAATTCTTTCGGGCATATAAAAAAACTATAACTTGGGGAAAATGGAATTTAAGTCATTATAAGTCACATAACTTGCCACAATCATGTATTTTGTATTGACTAGTAAGAAAGGAGACACCCTGACAATGCTACTCAAGTGGTATTTTGTATTTTAAAAATAAGACCACTTTTCCTAGACGTGAACGAATTTGTTTAAACTTTAACTTACATGACATAGAAGATATTTACCACTTCGTATATGTCCTTGTTATCGAAATCTTAGAGTAAAGTATGTCAATGATAATATATATAAAAGACCATCTGTATTAAAATTTTATAAATTGTTAAACAGCAATGACAAAAAAGAAGTATGTAATTTAGCAATGTTTCTAAAAGAAGCTTTTAAACATAGAAATAATATAAATATGGTAGAACAATAATGTGACATGCAAATTGTATTTTATGGAGTCCGTTACATTATGTTTATTATATATGATAAGTTGTATTGTTAATATGCTTTTACTCTCCTGTTATATGTATATAGATCAGTTTATATGAAAACAAAAATTGTATTGCTTCAAAACGCTTTAATCATGTGCAGAATATTTAGTTGTTATATATATATATATATATATATATATATATATATATATATATATATATATATATATATATATATATATATATATATATATATATATATATGTGTTGAAGATGATGTACTATGTACAAGTCTGAATAAGATATGTTCTGTTCTGTTCTGTTCTGAAAGTGATATTAACTTTACATGACATAATTATATGAAAGAAAGGAATACATGTTTGTAAGAAAAACCACCTAAGGACTAGTGAAATAGAAATTAAAGCAACTACAATATATGGTGACAACAGTTATTAAACTTGAGGTAGGTGTTTATCACAGGTAAATCACATATAATTCCTAGATAGCAAGGTATTTAAAAATATTGAATGTACATATTATAAATAAATGACACTCCACTCGTAATAATACTAATTAACAAATGCACAGTGTTCTTTGCTATTAATTTAAGCTTAAAGTTAACATAAACAAGTGATGTATAACATATCTTTCTTTTTATTTTTGGTGTGTCAGTCTTCTATCTCAAGTTTGTACTTATAGATATTGTGTCTGCTGATGAAGTATGACTTCATAAAGAGGAAGATCTGAAATATAGAAAGAATATTTTTCTATCAATATCAAAATTTATGTTTAATAGGACATTATGATTCAAAACAAGTCACCACCACATTCAACATTTTTTATTTCTGTTTTAGTGTTGTTGTGTCCAAGTATGAATCCAATGAGACTGACCATTATAATTATCAAAGTTAAATTAGTTTTGACATGACCTTGATGGTCAAGTTCTTTCAAAGGTCAAGGACATTACCAGTCAGGTCATTTTAAAGTCAAAATTTCATTTGAATAAATCATCATGTTTATATTTAATTGTCATAATTATTATTTTGTTCAAGAATGCAGCCAATCCATAACTGAGTCACAAAGTAATGAGAATTTATTTTAAGCAAAACAATAAATTGACCTTTACAGTCAAGGCCAGTAATAGGTAAAGGTGAGTTTTTATTTTTAACATTGTCAATTCTGACAAGAAATTCAAGGTAGCGAGCCAAATGTTGTGCATGGCATGTCATCCCATTATGATGATCATTTCTGTGAAATATTTTTAAAATCAGACTTCAAATAACGAAGTTATATGCCGGACACGATTTCTTGCAAGGTCATGCTGTGACCTTGGCCTTCACAGAAGCGACCCAAATGTTGCGCGCGGCACGTCGTCTCAATATGCTGATCATTTCTGTGAAAACGTTATAAAATCCGACTTGAAATAACGAAGTTATGGACCAGACACGATTTTGCTGCAAGGTCATGCTGTGACCATGAACTTCAAGGTAGCGAGCCAAATGTTGCACGCGACACGTCGTCTCAATATGGTGATCATTTCTGTAAAAAAGTTTTAAAATCCGACTTCATATAACAAAGTTATGGGCCAGACACGATTTTGCTGCAAGGTCATGCTGTGACCTCGACCTTCAAGCTAGCGAGCCAAATGTTGCGCGCGACACGTCGTCTCAATATGGTGATTATTTATGTGAAATAGTTTTAAAATTTTTAAACGTCACAATTATCCAAAGAAAAGCGACGTTACAAATATGCAGTATTATAAAGTGTAGTATAATACAGTATATAGTATAGTATAGTATAGTATAGTATAGTATAGTATATTATAGTATAGTATAGTATAGTATAGTATAGTATAGTATAGTATAGTATAGTATAGTATAGTATAGTATAGTATAGCTTAGTATAGCTTAGTATAGTATAGTATAGTATATAGTAAAGTTTAGCATAAAATAGCATAGCTTAGCGTAGCAAAGTGAAGTTTATAGTGTAGTCTATAGTATAATACAGGAGGGATGGGTTGGGATGAAGAAGAAGAAGAAGAAGAAGTTTATTTCAAAATCCACATGTAAACAACAACAGTCTGGTTTAGGCTAATAAGCCCTTGACCTGACACAAAATAAAAATTACAACATTCTCAGAAATACAATACATTACACAATACATTACAATACAATGACGGTCATTGAATAATAATACATGTATTACTCACTTTCAACATATTGTTACATTCATATATTATCAAAGCTATATGAAGTCATTTACATTTTAATTCATATCAATTATAATTTCATACATATTTATCTCTTTGATTATTTGGTTTGTCACCTTGTTCTGTATGTGTTCTTTTTACTAAACATCAATGGTTATCAAATATTTACTTGTTTTATCATAATATGCTCATATATAAATATTTATAATATTTGGTATCAAATGTATACATAAACATATAATTATGTAACATAATGCCTTGTATCGAAAATGAAATTACAAGACCATTATTTTTACTACTAAAACTCTAAAGCATGACATGCTTTTATGTCAGATATGAATTATCAGATTGAGACACACAAACAAATATGCATATTAGTATTAGACAAATTGCCATGTATCGAAAACGAAAGTACAAGACGAGTATGACGCGTACAAGGGAAATAACCATGTCAATTATAATGTAAACGATAATCAAGATTTGTTTACCTTTAGTTTTTGCTATAATAAATTGTTTTAACAAGAGGATAATAAAAATACTATATATGAAAAGAACAAGGAAAAAGAAAAAAAAATAACGAACATGATACAACATATCGAACATTTAAAAGGTATCAAATAAAGTTTGAAAATAGGAAAATGTTTTTTACATGTAAAGAAGAACATATGAAAGTTCAGAAAGGAACTTTAGAATTATACAGTATATAAATATTTATTACTCTTTAAGATTGCAATGTAGATTCTTTTCTAATCTCGAAAGCTTTGATGAGATGGTATGGTATGGTATTGTTTGGTATGGTATAGTATAGAATAGTATCGTATAGTATGGTATATAATATGGTATATAGTATAGCATAGTATTGCATAGTATAGTATATAGTATAGTACAGTACAGTATAGTGTATAGTGGGTGGTGTGGGGGTAGGGTAGGGTAGGGGAAGGGGTAGTGGTAGGGGTAAGGGTAGGAAGGGTAGGGTAGGAGAATGGGTAGGGGTAGGGTATAGTATAGTATATAGTAAAGTATAGCATAGCATAGCGTAGCATAGTGAAGTATATAGTGTAGTAATATTAGTATGACATCTTAACTGCCCATTTCAACGGAATGAATGAAAGTTATAGCAGACTAAGTCATATAATTTTGTAAATATTTATTTATTTCTCATTATAATCTATATTTTAAACAAACAAAAATAAATATTGCTATATTTGGGTATATTTGGGTGTATTTGAGTATTTCGTGCTGCCAGTTTATTATACAGGATGGGATGTTGGGATGGGATTGGATGAGATGGTTGGGAGGAGATGGTATGGGATCGTTTAGTACGGCATGGTTTGGTATGGTATATTATAGTATCGTATAGTATGCCGGTATATAGTATAGCATAGTATTGCATAATATAGTATATAGAATAGTATATAGTATAAGGGTAGGGTAGGGTAGGGGTAGGGTAGGGTATTGTATAGTATAAAGTAAAGTAAAGTATAGCATAGCATAGCATAGCATAGCGTAGCGTAGCAAAGTGTATATATATATATATATATAGTGTAGTATAGTATAATACAGGATGGCATGTTGGGATGGCATGTTGGGATTGGATGGGTTGGGATGAGATGGTATGGTATAGTATAGTATAATATGGTATGTTATAGTATAGTATAGTATGGGATATAGTATAGCATAGTATAACATAGTATTGCTAATATAGTATATAGTATAGTACAGTACAGAATAGTGTATTGTGAGGTTGGTTGGGGGTAGAGGTAAGGTAGGGGAAGGGGTGGGTAGGGTAGGGTAGGGGTAGGGGTAAAGTAGGAGTAGGGTAGGGGTAGGGGTAAAGTAGAAGTAGGGTAGGGTAGGGTAGGGAAGGGAAGGGTAGGGTAGGGCTACTAGGGTATAGTATAGTATAGTGTAGTGTAGTGTAGTGTAGTGTAGTGTAGTGTAGTGTAGTGTAGTGTAGTGTAGTGTAGTGTAGTGTAGCGCAGTACAGTGCAGTGCTGTGCCGCAACGCACAGCACCGTATCGCATCGCAAAGCATAGGATAGCATAGCATAGCATAGCATAGAATAGCAAAGGATAGGATAGGATAGGATAGAATGGGATAGCATAGCATAGTATAGCATAGTATAGTGTAGTATAGTATATTCTAACACTATTGGAAATTTTTCTATGTAAAAAAAGAAGGCCCGAAGCGTGCATTATTCTACAACAATGCACTCGCCGTTCTTATTATCTCCCTGCGTATTTTCACATTGAGGGTGCCATTTTGTTTGAAAAATCTGATAAATAAAAACAATTTTTTGTCAAATTTTGTTGTGAAAACTATCTAGAATGAAAGAAAAGGAATCCGAACACCAATATCTTTTATTCAGTCGTTAACGCTATACAGACGTTTAAAGTATTGTTTACGTGACGTCACAATGCAGCGCCAAACAGCACGTGCAAAACAATCAAATCAAGTACGCTATTTTAATGTCGCAAACGATTTAAATTTTACATTTATTTCAATTTTGATAATTTTTATTTCGCTTGAAAAATTATAGAGTGAAATAAAATAAACAAACAAAGTTTTATCAACGTTTTCAAAATTCGTTATTCTCAAAATGTTTCTACACACGGAAGATTTAACGATAGTTTTTTTTCATACCACTGGAACAGCCTTTAAAGAACGTTTCTATTGGAAACTCTGAGGCGTAAACAAATTTAACCACCAAACATAAAGTCCAACATTATAATAATAATTATATTTTTTCTTGACGTGTTAGAATGGAAATAGATATTAATTCTTCGTGCATTATTGTATAATAATGCACGTTTTTCGTTCAAACGCTTTGTAATTAATCACTCAGGCCTATCGGCCTTCATGATTATATTACTACGCATTTGAACTCAAACCGTGCATTATTCTACAACAATGCACTCAGAATTGATATCTATTTCCTAAGTATAGTTTAGTATAGTATATAGTAAAGTATAGCATAGCATAGCGTAGCGTAGCAAAGTGAAGTATAAAGTGGTACTGTAGTATAGTATAATACAGGATGAGATGTTGGGATGGGATCGGTTGGGATGGTATGGTATGGTATGGTTTGGTATGGTATAGTATAAAAGAGTATCGTATAGTATGGTATGTAGTATGGTATATAGTTTATTGTATCGTATAGTATGGTATATTGTATGGTATATAGTTAATTGTATCATATAGAATGGTATATAGTTTATTGTATCGTATAGTATGGTATATAGTATGGTATGTAGTATGGTATATAGTTTATTGTTTCATATAGTATGGTATATAGTTTATTGTATCGTATAGTATGGTATATTGTATGGTATATAGTATAGCAAAGTAAAGCATAGTATTACATAGTTTAGTATATAGTACAGTACAGTATAGTGTATAGTGGGTGGGTTGGGGTGGGGTGGGGTGGGTTGGGGTGGGGTGGGTTAGGGTTAGGGGAAGGGGCAGGGGTGTGTGTGGGTGGAAGGGTAGGGGTAAGGGAAAGGTAGGGTATAGGGTAGGGTAGGCAAGGGTTACTAGTGTATAGTATAGTATAGTGTAGTGTAGTGTAGTGGAGTGGAGTGGAGTGGAGTGGAGTGCTGAGTGAGTGGAGTGCAGTGCAGTGCTTTGCCGCAACGCACAGCACATCACCATATCGCATCCCATCACATAGCATAGCATAGCATAGTATAGTAAAGTTTAGTATAGTATATAGTAAAGTATAGCATTATAAGCTATCGTATAGCGTAGCGTAGCAAAGTGAAGTATATAGTGTAGTATAGTATAATACAGGATGAGATGTTGGGATGGGATGGGATTGGTTGGGATGGTATGGTATGGTATGGTTTGGTATGGTATAGTACAGTATAGTGTATAGTGGGTGGGGTGGGGTGGACCGGTTGTGGATAGTGTTAGGGGAAGGGGCAGGGTTGTGGGTGGGTGGTAAGGGAAGGGTATGGGTAAGGGAAAGGGTAGGGGTAGGGTAGGTGAGGGTAGGGTAGGGTAGGCAAGGGTTACTAGTGTATAGTATAGTATAGTGTAGTGTAGTGTAGTTTAGTGGAGTTCTGTGCCGTGCCGCACAGCACAGCACCGTATCGCATCCCATCGCATAGCATAGCATAGTATAGTATAGTATAGTTTAGTATAGTATATAGTAAAGTATAGCATTATAAGTTATCGTATAGCATAGCGTAGCAAAGTGTAGTAATTATAGTGTAGTTTAGTATAATACAGGATGAGGGGCAGGGGTGTGGGTGGGTGGGATGGGAAGGGTAGTGGTAGGGCAAGGGTAGGGGTAGGGTAGGGTAGGCAAGGGTTACTAATGTATAGTATAGTATAGTATAGTATAGTATAGTATAGTATAGTATAGTATAGAACAGTACAGTACAGTACAGTACAATATTAGTACAGTATTAGTACAGTATAGTATTAGTATAGTATTTATAAGTATTAGTATATTGTTAAGTATAGCATAGTGTAGTGTAGCATAGTGAAGTTTATAGTGTAGTAAAGTATAATACAGGATGGGATGTTGGGATGGAATGTATGGATGAGATGGTATGGTATGGTATCGTATAGTATGGTATATAGTACATGTATACCGTATCGTATAGTATGGTATATAGTATGGTATATAATATAGCATAGTATTGCATAATATAGTATATAGTATAGTATTAAGTACAGTACAGTATAGTGGTTGGGGTGGGTGGGGTATCATATCGTATGGTAATTAGTACATGTATATATAGTATAGAATAGTATTGTATAGTATGGTATATGGTATGGTATGGTATGGTATAGTATAATGTAGTATAGTTTCTTCAAGTATAGTATACAGTTTGGTATCAGTGTTTTTTTTCACCAATATATTAGGCGAAATTCAGCCCCTGGCATTCCCCCCTCAAAATAGTATGTTCCCCCCCCCACCCTCAAAGCCGAAATTTCCCCCTATACAGCGCAGCCTGAATTTGCCTGCAATGAATATCATGTATTTTTTGCAACTAACTGCCGAAAAATCGAAAAATTATTTTTTTATGCCTGTAACACTGACTGTTAAGCAAGGGTGTTTACAAATCATTCTCAGGTAGGTATTAGTGGAGCTTCTCCCGGTGTCCCAACAAGTTTAATATGAGACGTGTCTGTATTTAAGATCCGTATGTCAAGAAAAAGCAAATAACTTTCCCCCTCCTATTGCATATTTCCTCCTTAAAAGGGCACTGACCCCCTTCCCCCAAAAGTGAAAAGATAAACAGGGTATATAGTATACAGTATCGTATCGTATGGTATATAGTATACTGTATCGTATAGTATGGTATATAATATAGCATAGTATAGTACAGTATAGTGTAGGATAGTGGTGAGGGTAGGGGGTAGGGGTAGGGTAGAATGTGGTATGGCATGGCATCCAATGGCATGGCATGGCATAGCATAGCATAGCATAGCATAGCATAGCATATGACAGGCTTGGATTGGTTTCAGATTGAAAATTTCTGGAAAAATAAACATTAAACATTTGCACCTGGAAATCACCAAAAGCCATCATTTGATATGTAGATTCAACAATTTTTCTCTGGAGGACATACCCGCAAACCCCTTTCTTCAAAAGAAACTTATCCCCCCCCCCTCTCAATCTAAAAATGTACAAATAATTCTTCCCTGATAAATTAATGTTTAAATTATTTGGCAAATAGATCTATTTCAATTATTTCTAAAATTTTTGACTCCCATTAAAATATATAATGGGAAAAATTAATATAAATTAATTAATTTCCATTGCTAAACAAGAGGGCCATGATGGCTCTAAAGTCGCTCACCTGTATATAGGCCCCCGGAGCGGGGCCAGTTTAAACCCCAGGGCTTTTATTTGAACAAACTTGGTTGACACCAATTAGAAGATGTTTAGCATGAAACATCTTCTAATGGGTGTCAACCAAGTTTGTTCAAATAAAGGTCTAGCTTGTTGGGTTTTTTAAAAGAAGATTTTTTCAAGTTTTATTTTTTACACATATAGTTCAAAACAATGACACACCTGGGGCAGGGCCAGTTTTGACCCACGGGCTTTTATTTGAACAATCTTTGTAGACACTTACTAGACAATGTTTCATGCTTAATATCTGAACTCTAGCTATTCAGGTTTTTTCAAAGAAGATTTATAAGTTTTTGCTATACACATATAAGGAAAATCAATGTCCCCTGGGACGGGGCCAATTTTGACCCAAGGGTTTTTATTTGAACAAGCTTTGTAGACACTCACTAGAAGATGCTTCGTGCTTCATATCTAAACTCTAGCTATTTGAGTTTTTTTCAAAGAAGAATTTGTAAGTTTTTGTCATACACATATAAGGAAAATGAATGACCCCCGGGGCGGGGCCAATTTTGACCCAAGGGCTTTTATTTGAACAAACTTGGAAGACACTCACTAGAAGATGTTTCATGCTTAGTATCTAAACTCTAGCTATTTGTTTATTTTTCAAAAAAGATCTTTTAAGTTTTTGTTATAAACATAGAAAGAAATGAATGACCCCCGGGCCGGGCCAATTTTGACCCCAGGGCTCTTATTTGAACGAACTTGGTAGACATCCATTAGAACATGTTTCATGCTAAATATCTTAGCTCTAGCTCTTTGAATTCTTTAAAAGAAAACTGTTTTAAGTTTTTACTATAGATATGCATATAGGGAAAATCAATGACCCCCTGGGGCGGGGCCAATTAAGGGCTTTTATTTGAACAAACTTTGTAGACACCCATTAGAAGATGTTTCATGCTAAATATCTGACATCTAGCTCTTTGGTTTCTTTAAAAGAAGATTTTTTAAGTTTTTACTATATGCATATAGGGAAAATCAATGACCCCTGGGGCGGGGCCAGTTTTGACCCCAGGGCTTTTATTTGAACAAACTTGGTAGACACTCACTAGAAGATGTTTCATGCCAAATATCTAAGCTCTAGCTCTTTGGATTTTTAAAAGAAGATATTTAAAGTTTTTTTTCTTTTGGCTGCCATGGCAACCAGAGTTCTGCATGGAATGGAATTCTTTGAACAACTTTATTAAGGCTTCACACAAGGAACATCCCTGTGAAGTTTCATTATGATCTGCCTTATGGTTTCAGAGGAGATGTCGTTTTAAAAGTGTGCACGGACAACGGACGACGTACGACGGACGACGGACGAAGAGTGATCCTAATAGCTCACCCTGAGCATATGCTCAGGTGAGCTAAAAAGTTAATTAAGATATCATTTCATAATATACTCAACATCACTGATTCCGCGTCATCACTTATCTCACGGTAGAGTGGCATATTTTCATGTGACCATTGACACAATTGGTCAGAATTGACATATTTTATTCAAACACCTTAACAACAAAGTTTTTGTGCAAAAGAATTTAAATCTATAGATTTTTACGTAAAACTGAACAACATTTTACAAACTTCTGCAAAAAACAACAATAGTCCATAAAATTTGTGCATAAGTCTGAAACAATCATCATTTTCTAAATGTTCTTGTTTGTTGAAAAAAAATAAAATTTTGAGTTACATTTGTAAAGTTACTTTTAATATTTAAAATTATGCAAAATAATTTAAAGAAATTTTAATTGAAATATGAAAAAACTGAAATAAAACACCATTACCGCGAGGTAAATGATGACATACTGTTTTCAAAATGGCCGACACACGGTTTACATCTGACAAATTAAAACTAATTTTGATTAAATATATTGTAGTTTCCTTGTGTCATATAGCAGAAAAATGACTAAATGATACAGTTTATGACAGTTTTTGTAGTGTAAGTTTATTGTTTGTGTTCTTTACTGTTTTAAAGTGTTAAGTACTGTGAACTAAGAGGAGCATAGTATAATATTTAGGCAATGAATCCAGAAGGATGACATTACAAATATACATGTTGTCATGTACAGTACTGTATTCCTGAAGATTAAAGAAAAACTACGGAGTTTGAATTATTAAGAAAAGGTAAACTTTAAAATAATTAATTTATTGTTGCTACTTAAAAGTGAACCAAGTTCAAAATAATAATCTAGATCTATATTAAAAAAACAAAATAGATAAAAAAAAACTAACTTACTTTTTATATACAGAAACATCAGTCCATCCATAACACTTCCAGAAAATAATCCAAGATGTCTATTTATGTGTGCACATTTATCAATCTACAATACTGCAGTAAATATTTGATTCATAATAAAAAATGATGTCTATTTCACCTGTCACTTGTCTCAAAATCTATCTATAAATTGTTTCTCCCAAGTTCATTTAAGGTTACTCAGTACTTGTTGTTGTTTTAAACACAAACAGGTACTCTTCAGGCATCAAGGTGCCATCACTGGTGACCACAAAATTGTTTGATTGTTTTATAAATGTTTTAAAGTTTTCAAATTCTGTTTCTGGTTTTATATCACAACCTCTCATAAGTACTGTCACTGCATGTGGTAGTTTGTTTATAACAGTAATGATATCATGTAACACTGAACAAGACATTGTTATATCCATCAAGGCAACACCTTCAATATTGCTCATTTGAGGTGACAGTGTTAATGATCTTTCACCTAGATTGATTCTCCTCAACACAACAACTTTCACATGATATAACAATGATAATGTTTGTAACAGTGTTTCTATGTCACTGGAAGATTCTAGATCATTACACATAAATGTTTGTAGTTTACTTGCTGCTGGTAGTTGACTGAGATAAGATGACACAACACCAGGTTTATATAATATACCTACAGTACATTCCTCTAACAACGATACATCCATGTTTAACTGTGACACAGGTATATTGTCCAATCCTAAACATCTTAGTTGTGAATGTTGAGACAGGTCAAGGTTGAATCCCCTACATGAAGTACCATGATCACTACAGTGAAAACTGTACAATCTTATTTCTTTCATTGATTTTTTACTATTGAGGAAATTTAACAATGTCTTCATTACCATGTGGGTCATAGTGAAACAGCTTATCGATAAACACTCCAGGTGTTGTAATTTCACCAGTCCTCCATTTATCTCTGCAGTCAGCTGGCAATATTTTCTTACAAAGTCATGATTTTCCCATTTACGTGATATCACATTTAAACATTTTAAAGGGTTCAATAACAAGCTCATTATTTCCTCTTCTACAATTTCACCTATATAGAATAATTTCTCTATATGTGGAAGGTCAGAGAGTGTAAACAAATTGATAATTTCTTGTAGACTACAAATATCTTTATTATCTATCATTATTGATTTTATGTTTTCTTTATTTTGTTGACACAAATATTGTAATTGTCTGAAGTAGTTTTTTTGTTGACAATTTTCATTAATGATGAAATCTTGTAAACACAATTTGAGGTCTTTGGTTTCCTTTCTTTCTTTGCTACAAGAAATGTACATGTCTTGTATGTCTTGTAATGGCTTAATGTAAATGTAATCATAATCTGTCATAGTTCTGTATTTGCTTGTTTTGTCATCATTGTTTATCACAGGCATTAAATCACTTGATATTGTTGACATTAATTTAGGGTTCATGCCACTAATAAAGACAAACACTTTTGACATGTCTAGAGTATTTTTTAAACAGTTGCACACTTCAAATATGATTTTCTGAACCTCATTTGTATTTTGAAAACTTATAAATAATGCTGAAAAGTATTCTTGCACTGTTTTATGTGAAAATGAAATTTTAAAACTTTCATTTATTAATGTTTTCACTTTACTTTCTGATAGTATTCCTGATAGACAGCTCGATTTCAAATCTTCTTCGTTAAGATATTTATTAGCAACATTTTTATCAAAAACTAATGTGTGCTCCTTTTTCTTATTGAACAATGTATAAAAAGCTAGTTTCCCAATGGTCACCAGAAACGTGTAGTAGCTATAGAAATGTTGATGTTTTGTGAAACAATCAGGAATATAAAGTAGAGACTTTTCACATGATGAATGAAACTTTCCATGTAACTTTTCTGTTCTAGATAGAAGGAGTTGAATAATGCCTGTATATAATTCTACTGCTGAATTTCCTATTGGAATTTTAGCAATCCATGAACATATAAGATATAGCAACAGGAGAGGGGTGGATTCCATATCATCAAGGTCATGGTCACTGATTGCTTCTTCAAATCTACAAACTTCATTGATCAGTTTTTCTTCTTCAATGTTGCCTTTCAATGTTTTCATTGCGTTCAGGTAAAACTGTCTAATATTGTGTTTATCTAGTTTAACTAGCTCTACTGTTTTGTCTATTTGATTAGTCTTCAAGTTTGACATTCCAAGCTTCCATGGGCGGGTCGTTGTTAAGATTACACACTTTTCACGTGCATATCGATGAGGAATACTTTTTGGAAGTCTTGTACAATCGTTGTCAGGATGAGTCCATTCATCTAGTCCATCCAATATAACAAGACACTTTTCATCATGTAAAATGTCCTTTAAAAGACCTTTAGGCATTGAAGATGAGCACGAAAGATATTGTATGACTTGTTGTTCAATCATGTCGTCGACATCACATACTTTAGTTGAATCCCTCAATAGCACCAGAAATAACAACTCAAAGCCATATAATGCCTTTAACTCTTCTTCTTTAAAATGCTTATAGTTTTCATCATTTTTATGAGCTTGACACCATGTGATGGCGAAATATTTTGAAAAAGAAGTTTTCCCAAATCCAGCGGCCGCTGATAAATATATTTCCTGTGAAAACGTTTTACTGGGAGTAAACAGTTCCTGTAACGACCTGACTCTAGTTGTTTCTTTCCTTCCACCTGGCAGATAAGTCTGTATGTCCATTTCTGGCATAATGTAGAACCCGGCTAAAGGGGTATGGGAATCATCTGTGAGTGGTGAAAGAGGAACTGTACTCTGATTGGTGTTGTACCATGTAATTAGTTCATCCCTCAGTTCTGAAAAAGAAATAATTGACATTATTATTAATTCAGGTGTTGAAATATAACAAACATTGATATGACTTATTAATTGGAATGGTGTCAGTGTGTACATGTATATTATAAAACATGTATATCAAAATACAATTAGCCTCACTAATAAAGAAAAGAAAAGCAAACAGAAATCATTCAGAAACAAAATGTTAAAAAATGTTGTTTTTTAAACTATTCCTTAACATTATATTAGTTTCTAAAATAAATTATAGGACATACAAAAAATGTTGAAATTGATAAAAATTGTATTCCTCTGCTTTTTTTTCAACTACAATAGTAGCCCAACAAATTGTGCGCTTTAGGGCTTTTTTTTCATATAGACGATGGTCGCCCTTACTTAGAGAGACATCTATGAAATATCAGATTATAAAATCGGTCTGTCTTGCCGTCGAAATATTAAGACTACTACAATAGCAGACGAACAAACTTTTTTAATAATTTGTACGAAATATATAAGTGAAATTCATACAAAATGTCTCAAGTATACCTTTTTACTGAATTCACTGAGCATCTCACTTTATATTTTTTCTCTATGCAAACTTTCTATAACAAAAAGTCAACTTTTGGTCGCCTCGGTCATTATTAAATTTGAAATGCACTGACTTAACTGTAATAAACATTAAACTATAAATAGTAACCAGGTGTTATGGACTGGCAAAATATATCTATGGAGCGCCATAACTGCTTACGGTACTTAACATTTATCGGGGAAAAATATAAAAATCATACATGAATAAGATTCATCCTCTTTTTTAATAAGTGATCCTTTTCAAAAACTGTTTGTAAAATTCTATTTCAAGATATTCAATTAAATTGTCTTTTATTTTTAAAACTATTTCTATAGTCTGCCACTTTGGCAATCGGAACATTCTCGGCTATACAATCAATTACGTACAATATAACCTCGGAGTAAAATCGGACTGAAAGCAGTTTTACCACGTTGTTTCAGATGTAAACAGAAACAGAGAATGTTATTTTCTAAATTTGACATCCAGAGAAAAATAAAGTTTCTTTTGGTACAATTATGATTTAAAATATGTATGACAATCATTTTGAATTTCAAAATACCCACTGGTGTACAATTTTAATAACAAAATAGAGTGAAATAAGAATCCCCAAAGAAAGCTCATGCAACGCGGCAAAAAAGAAAATGTTGCAGACTCGGTGTGATTGAGCCTGTTCATTGACGGTACTGTCAAGTGCAAACTACCGTCCACGCCCCCTAGCACCGGCTTAAGCAGAATTCAACATTTAACATGAACTGGTAAAATTAAGAATTTTGAAACATCCGCAGATGTGTTTAAACAAATCCGACTAAATGTCAACATGTTGGCATTCTTTACTTTCGGTTTCTACAACCATCATAACAAGAGCCCGGTTTTAGCCGGGTGATGCTCCCCGAATAGGTTTTGGACACAGGAAAGTACACCTCTTGTAGTTTCAGAGTTATGTCCCTTGAAAAAGTTCAAAGTGCAATAATTCCAAAATAAGGCAAGGCAGAGTTATGATTCTGGTGCACTGCACATCTACCCATTGAGATATATCTACCTACAAAGTTTCATGTTCATATCATTTATAGTTTTACAGCTATGTCCTGGACAAAATTTTTCTAAACGGGGAGATAATTCAAAAATGAGGCTTCACAGACTTATTGTTCTTATGCACTGCACATTTCCCCATTGAGATCTATTCACCTACAAAGTTTCATGTTGATATCTCTTATAGTTTTAGAGTTATGCCCTGGACAAGATTTTTCTATAAGGGGAGATAATTCAAAAACTGGGCAAAATAGAGTTATGGTTCTTTGACACTGCACTCCCCCTCAATGCCCTCTACCACTGTATGAAGTTTCAACAAATTATCTCCAAGGGTTTTCAAGTTATGCTCCGGACAAGACAACGGACGGACAGACGGACAAACGGACAAGGCGCCGACTACATGCTCCCCCGAAATTTTTCGGGGAGCATAATAAATATAAAAATTATGTATTATTTGCTTTTGTTTCTATGAATTCGCTTATTTTAATAGGTGGACTTTTATCACATCCGTGTTATTTGTGCCGTGTGGCGGCTGTAAAAAGTCTCCCCGTACATTTAATCAATGATATTATACTTTCGATCCTTGAAGATCGTTCAGCACGACATTATTGTTGTGCTTGTGGTATTTTTAGTTTCAATTTTTCGGCATTTTCTAGTTGGGTGGTTCCAATATTCCTCCTTGAATAATGTTGAATCACCCCTAGGATATGTTGCCTGCTTTTTAAATTTGTCTTTTGACGTCTTATCTGTGATACGCAGGCTTCATAACCTCTGATCCCCTTTCAAAATTCCATTTTATTTAGTTCCGCCCATTGTTTTCTCGTTTAGGGCACACGCTTTTCATTACTTGGGGACCATACGCCGCTTTTCATGGAATGGCACGGAAGTGTCACATTGAAGGTTCCATGATAACCGCCGTATGAACACATCTGCGGATGTTTCTAAATTCAAAATTTTACCATTTCATGTTTAAATGTTGAATTCTGCTTAAGCCGGTGCTAGGGGGCGTGGACGGTTTACTTTCACTTTCCAGTACCGTCCATGAACAGGCTCAATCAAACCGAGCCTGCAACATTTTCAATTTTGCCGTGTTGGGCTTTCTTTAGGGATTCTGCTTTTAATCTATTTTATATACTTTCCAATATTGAAAATAATCTTGTCAACAACTCCCAGCATTATAAAATACTAATTGTTACATGTTTAGTTTTTTAGCGTAAGTTCGAACGAAATACCGTATTCATACAATTGTGTTCGAGGTCCTTATCCGAAGATTGACGGAAAGGGCCGAAAAGTTGCGATTGCCATTTTGGGTGATTTCAGAAAAGGTTACTATGGCATCACGGTCTTTTATCCAAAAAATGCAAGTATGAAGTATTAAAGGACAGATGGGTAAAAATCTTCAAATTAAGTTATGGAAAACTTCCAACAGTTAACTTACTATTAAATTCAAGCTATACGAATAGATGACATGCCAGTATATTGGATTATTACATAGTAACAATTAAGGGATATGGTAGTCAAATATGGAGATTTTAATTTCCCCAAATATTCATTATTCACAAAATAGATAAATACAGAATCCCTAAAGAAAGCCCAACACGACAAAATTGAAAATGTTGCAGGCTCGGTTTGATTGAGCCTGTTCATCGGTACTGGAAAGTGCAATTTACCGTCCACGCCCCCTAGCACCGGCTTAAGCAGAATTCAACATTTAAACATGAAATGGTAAAATTTTGAATTTAGAAACATCCGCAGATGTGTTCATATGGCGGTTATCATGGAACCTTCAATGTGACACTACCGTGCCATTCCATGAAAAGCGGCGTATGGTCCCCAAGTAATAAAAAGCGTGTGCCCTAAACGAGAAAACAATGGGCGGAACTAAATAAAATGGAATTTTGAAAGGGGATCAGAGGTAATGAAGCCTGCATATCACAGATAAGACGTCAAAAGACAAATTTAAAAAGCAGGCAACATATCCTAAGGGTGATTCAACATTATTCAAGTAGGAATATTGGAACCACCCAACTAGAAAATGCCGAAAAGTTGAAAACTAAAAATACCACAAGCACAAAAATAATGTCGTGCTGAACAATCCTTAAGGATCGAAAATATAACATCATTGATTAAATGTACGGGGAGACTTTTTACAGCCGCCACACGGCACAAATAACACGGATGTGACCATAAAATAGATAAATACAGAATCCCTAAAGAAAGCCCAACACGACAAAATTGAAAATGTTGCAGGCTCGGTTTGATTGAGCCTGTTCATGATAACAAGATACAATAACAAGATTCAATACAAGATTGAATTAAGTGGTAGGTGCTGTGTAATTTTATGAGACAGTTTCAAAAAAATAGCATTGTCATATGTTATCTGAATAATTAGACTGCAAGACCAAGCCACCTACACAGATGTTGGTATTTACGCGGGGCGGCCATCGTCTATATAATAAAAAGCTCCTAATTGCATAATTTGTTGGGCTATGTAATATGTTGCTTTTACTAGTAGTTGCAGAAAATGTAAATACCGTGATATCATAGAACCCGTGATACCATAGGAACCGAGTTTATACACATTTCTAAAGTGGTGGCATCTTTTAGATAAATGTTGCCGTTATTATGATAAATAGTAATTACAATTGCTTTTATAGATGTCTGGTGCTATTATGGTTTTGATAGATGGTGATGTCGTTTTCATATAAAGTGACGTGGTGATGATATATGGTGAAGTAGTTTTGGTTTATGGTACAGTCCTTTAGATAGATGGTACTGTTGCTTACTGTGGTACTATTTAGTTTCGCCCATTGTTTTCTCGTTTAGGGCACACGCATTTTTTTACTTGGGGACCATACGCGGCTTTTCATGGAATGACACTACTGTGTCACATTGAAGGTTCCATGATAATTGCCGTATGAACACATCTGCGGATGTTTCCAAATTCAAAATTTCTACATTTTGTGTCTAAATGTTGAATTCTGCTTAAGCCGGTGCTAGGGGGCGTGGACGGTAACTTGCACTTTCCAGTACCGTCCATGAACAGACTCGATCAAACCGAGCCTGCAACATTTTACAATTTTGCCGTGTTGAGCTTTCTTTAGGGATTCTGTTTGTCTCTATTTGAGAAATGGTGATGTCGTTTTGATAGATGTTGCTTACATTATAGTGTTATGGTGCTCTCTTTTCATGTACTGTGCTGTGGTTTTGATAAATGGCGATGCCATTTTGATATATGGTCATGTAATTTTGATGAAGGACATGTAGTTTTAATAGATGGTGATATGGTTCGGAGAAATGGTACTCTGGTCTTAATAGATTATGCTATCATTTTGGTAATTTTGGTATATAGTGATTTTATTTTGAGAGATTGTGCTGTGATTTTCATATATGGTTCTGTTACCATGTATATGGTTCCCAATGACC